GGAAAAAAAAAAAGGAGCATTCTTTCTTCTATGAGCCATTTTGCTGCTGGTGGCTTCCTCTTTAATGGAGCACAGCACCCACCAGGCCACCTCACACACTAGGGCCCTCAAAAAACACAGCCTTTCGGGAAGAGACCATAGGGACTAGCTGACCTCTTCCAAACTCTGGTCCAGCCTCTTCTACAGATGGGTAAAGAAATGAAACTCAAGGAGTCAGCTGATTTCCATAAAATGGTTAGCGAGCCGGCTAACTTCCTATCTAGGTCTAAAGGATGGTATCCTCTTGTTGCTTATGGGGCCATCTCCCTACATTAACTCCTCCTTCCAGGAAGTCTGCAACCCAGCAGGAAACTCTTTAAAAAGGCAACAATATGTCACTGATTTAGCTACTCAATTAATGTTTGTCAACAAGTGTTATAGTACATGGAACCCTTTGTAATCAGGTGCATGACCTCACCTGACACTGAACTGCCCCTGGCCTCTGTCAGGAGTAGGTTCCAAGATGCCTTCTGCTTGGCAGCTGCCACAGCGCAGGGCACACCCAACGTGGAGCGGGGCCCTGACTCTTACTGAAGGTCTACTATACTGGGCTGTATGCTAGACGCACCTCATCCTGCTCTATCCTCATAGCTACTCGACCTTGTAGGATAAGTCCTCACTTTCCCACCCCCTTTTAGAGGTGAGGAAACTGAGGCATGGAAAGATTACCCTATGTTCATACTGCTAGGAAGCAGTGGAGACAGGATACACTCCCAAGCCTGCTCTCATTCCAGAGCCTAGCTTTAACTACTCACTACAATCATTAACTTTGCCCATTAACTAGAAACAAAAGGGGGAAGGGTGCTGATGTTTCTACCAGTGACCTTGGCTTACTTACTGTTTGAATCTCTTGCCCACACATGGTCACCCAGAGATGGCACTCTCGGGTGGGCCACATGCAGTGCTGTTCATAGATCACAGACCTCAACTTAAGCATTTTGTGCTCTAAGCTGGGGCCCTGGCTGAACACCAGCCACCATTCAGAAGACTGATCCTGCCTTAACTTAGGAAGCAGGAGGGCTGTGAAGCTTCAGCCAGGAGGGTCACCCAAAGATTGAATCCCTAAAATCTGCTTCTGCTGGGGAACATTTCCTGTAGGGCCAAGTTCCAGCACGCTGCTTTTTCTGAGGGAAAGCCCACCCATGCTAGGCAGAGACCAACCAGCAAAGGCTGAAAATGGCACCTGGCCCCACACTGTGCTATGTGCAGATATGCAGCCACTATGACATCACCCAGGCAAGAGCGTGGCTTTCTTAGGGACTAAAAGCAAAAGGGCTTAGAGGGATCTGAAAGAGGAGTTAGGGGAGGAGAAGAGAGAACCAGCTACTACAACTGTACCAGGCTTCAAGGAGGGGACCCATTTTGCTTTCAGGTCCCTGCTGATCCCACTCACCTCAGGCAGGCCCTGTAAGTGGCAATGCAAGAGCAGAGGCTTGGGAGGAACCTGGGCCCAAGGAAACGAGACTCTACAAGTCCACAGCCCCCGCCTGCCAGGCGAGGCATCTGTTAGAGGCCTTTGGAGATAGATGGGAGACTAGTGCTAAGCAGAATGAAGACTGGGCTTGGAGTCAAGAGGCCAGAATTCTACTCCCCACCCTGCTGCTCACTAACCTCATGATTTGGGGCAAGACAGTTACCCTCTATGGGCCTCAGTTTCCTCACCCATAAAACAAGAGGGAACATTGAGCTGATTGCTAAAGTCCTCTGCAGGGCTGAGATTCTGATTCCTCTGTTCTCAGAAACAAATTCAACATCTTTGTTAATTTCTTGGATTTTTTTATTATCAAAAGTATCCTTTAACTTTCTTTCCCCATTTTTTGTTAATATTCAAAAAGAAACAGTTGTCTGTTAGCAATTTTCCTGAGCATGTTCAATTTTTTCAATGAAGTATGGCATGTAATTACCACTTCCTTTGTTCTTTCATTTAATGTTTTGCAGAGAGGGAAAAGCACTATCAAAATACATCAAATATTACAAAATGGTAAAAGAGAGAAGTCTTAAAGTCCAAAGTTAAACATGACCATTTTTCAGTGTTTAAATGTCTCTATATCCGAGATCTACTGTGACTTCTATAACCTGGTAAGATAGGCATTTTCGTGTAAAATGAGGTTTAGAGAGGTTGCCTTACTCAAAGTCACAAAGCAAGTTAGTGGCAAAGTCTAGATCACTCGAATAGATGCCCAATAGTCTTTCTACCATAGATCATTATCTTCCTAGCCAACCTGCCTTTCTAGATTCTCTGCTACTCTTTCTTGGGTTAGAAACGCACACTTTGTACAAGGCAAAGTCAAAACTTATTGCAACAGAACTGCGGCCAGAACTGTACTTGTCCCACTAGGGCCATTGTCCTAAGGTGAAAAATCAATCGTACCCCAAGGCATTCCATCCCCACTGACCCTGAACAGGAGATATTCATGTCTCAGGTAGACCAGAAAATCCAAAGAGTTCAATCAATGGAATGTTACCAGGAATGTTACAATTTGGAAGAAACTATGAAAAGAGGGAGTTTTCCTGGTGTTTCCTCACATTGCCTGGATGAATGGCTGAATTAGGTGGGACATGCAAGGTAGTCTTCTTACCTACACAGTCAAAAGTCAGCAATAACCTGGCCATTTGTCTCTGGAAATCTGCTTTTGAGGAGGAAGGCAAATGATTTTAAAATGCAGAAAACAGGAAGAAATTCGAGGCAGCATGGCATTAGCCTTCTTATTTCCCCCAAAAGGTCAATAGCCAGACATCACACCTTCACTGCTGCTTCAGCTTCTGCTACTTTCTATGGCTATCGGGGTGTGTATGTGTTTAAATACTTCCAGATTTGCTAATCAGGACATGTGATGCCCTTTTCTCACACATGCCCTAATGAAAGACATAGGAAGCACCCTGCCATTCGCTCAGAATGAAACACACGTGAAGACCCTTCCTCTAAATGAGAATAAGCTTTACCTATGTATTCCCATCAATTTTTCTATCACTGGAACCAGAAGTTATGATTTCTAGAATGACAAGACAGACAGACGTGCTGGCCTGACTATGACAGGTTATTTATACCGAGTATTCTTTAAGACAAGGCACAGGCAGGACAAATGCAAAGTGTTTAAAGGAAACGGATCTATAGGGAAAACAATAGCTCACTTTTGCTTTTCTGGGGTGCTGGGCTAATTGTGAGAACGCAAAGGAAAAGGCCTAAAACTTGGCTACCTGTGTTTAAGACTGGGAATAAAATGTTCCCTTGCTGGGCTTTTAAGAGGTCTCCTTCGAGAGCTCTCTGCAACTTCAGCACCACGGACTCAGCACTGCCCCAAGCTCTCCTGTAACTGACTGTTTTTGCTTTAATTAACCAAGGCTAGGTGGGACAGATTTACTCTGTGTAATGTTACTGTTATCTGCCAGTGGCTAGCAGCAGCTCTTTACCTGTTGCTCTTGATGCCTGGCCTGCACAATTAGCACCTTATTATAGGCCGGCCTCTCATCTAAGTACCACGTGTCTCAATTGAGCACTTTATTTTGTCTTGTTCACGTACTAGTTCAAGAACCTGGGCTCCGCAGTTATAAGAAATCTTAAACTCCTTTTAGGCAGGTGTGTGTTTTCAGTTTCTTATCTCTTCAGGCCCACGAGAACACTAGGGACACAAAGGCATGCAAACAAATACTTCCTGATTGTTTGAAGAGCTTCTAGAGGTCTATTCTGGGAATAAGCACGTGGTTGGAATCTGGGTCTCCATGCCTATCTCAACCCTCTGTACCTGATCCATTGGGCTTCTCTGCCGTTGAGGGATCTCAGGTACTTTGAGTTAAGCTCCACTTGGTCTATATGTAACCTTTTCCCTTACCTAAAAGAGTTGGCTGAAACAGACACATGAGCTTCCCATCAGCACCACGTTCAATGTTCCTCTAGAAAAAGGAACAGATTCCTTGCTTTTGGAATTAAAACTAACTATAACTTATAGGGCTTTACCAGTTCCACAACAAACACAGGCCTCCTTCAAATACTCTAGTGAATGAAATGAAAGGGGACAGCTACATAAGGGGATGGTTAGGAAGGCAGGTATGGGAGCTAGGTTTTCTGGTCTCAAATCCTGGCTCTACCGCTTACTAGCTGTGTGACCTGAGACCTTGGTCAAGACAGCCTCTCTGCACCTCAGTTTCCCAATCTGTAAAACAGGATAATAGTACCTGCCTCACAGGGCTATTGTTAATAGGACTGAATCAGTTAGTCTTTGTAAAGTGCTTTAGAGCAGTGCTTGGCACATAATAAGCACTATTATACTTAAGTTACTGTTAGATAAAATTAATAAGCGTACAGAGATTTAGAACAGACAGACCTATAAATCAGTATGCCTCCAAAAGAATCTGACAGTGATGGGAAAACAAGCAGGTTAACAGAATAATATTCCATCCTTGGTGTTTTGATTTTCTGGCAAACATATAATCTTTGAATTGCTTCAGTAAACCAAAAAGAACTCTGGATTTATAGGCTTTTGAAATGTCTAACACATTATCACAACATATGTGATAAAAATGTTCTGGCTGCATTCAAGCAAAACAATTAGTGAAGGTGTCATTGTTTTAGTAGAGAATTTTAAATGAACATTCTACTGTTTACACCTCTTATATCTACTTTGTCTAACATGTCAGATATTGTTCATAATGTTATTTAGCAAATACTGCCAACCCTTCTCCAGCAAAGAAACTTAGTCAATTATCAGGGGAACACTTCAAATGTATGTTTTATATTTTAAAAGATTCATTGAAAGATGAATCTTTATATAAAGATGATTCCATGGTATCCAAACTCAGAATTTTCTTTCAGTGTCTTTTCTGATCTATTCACTGCCACTTTTTAAACCCTCAATCTTCTTAGATATCCTAGCTACTAAAATTCCACATCCAGGGTCTCTCCTTTCTGAGCACTCTCTAGCACAAATACCATTTCTAACAACAGCAGTCCCTTGTTATCTCACCACGGAGGTCCTCTCTAGAATCCAGGCGTCCAACCACACACAAAGGCATCTATGTGCCACAACAGGTGGGGGCACCTGTACTTTCGTTAGGGAGGAAACACTTCCAGTTTCACCTCTCCTAGATTCCCTGGAGGGCAAAGTTCAACAATGCAGGATGTCTTCCCTGTAGGTGCACCTGCAGAGAATTATGTAGAGACATCAGAAACAACTAATGTCCAGTCTACTAAGAAGTGATCATCTATTTTGGGGCTCAGCAGTTTAGTGCTTAAGAATGTGGGCAGGTACTTCCTCTCCATACCCTCCTCGGACTGACCTCCCTATCCCACTGTGTTCACTAGTGCCACTGTCATAGCTCTTAACCACCATGTTCTGTGGTTATGCTGGCCCTGGGTCCTTCCCCTCTGCCTGGGGAGCTTCTCTGGGCAGAAGTTGTGCTCCACTTGTCTTAGTGTTCCAAAGCCAGCACAAAGCCCATCTATGCTAAGCTCCCAAGAGTTATGTGTGAAACTGTATTTGAGCTACTATCTGAGAAAACCCAAATGTTCTTTGGATGATCAAGCTGTCAAGGGTTACTTTCACTTTTGAGTACAGGGAGGTTCCTCAAAAATGGAGCATTTGGAAAAGTCATCAGACCCCCTCTTTGTTTCTGTCGTTTGGGGTTAACTTTCCCCCATTTATCCACGTGGCCCCTTTAAAATTTTTTCGTGCCCTGTCAGCCCCGCCTTAATGGGCTCCTTCAGTGACCCCACATTCACCTTGCAGGTATCCTTTCTGAATATTCGAGGCCCATTCTTACGTGGCCACGAGCGGGGCTGGCATGTTTTTCGTCCACGGCTCCCAGCGATCACTAGTCACTGCTAGGAAGTGCTGGGGACGCCTGGGCACTGCGCCCCCCAGCCAGCGCCGACCAAGACTCTCCCCCCCTACTCTCTTTGGGACAATGCTCCGGCAGCCACCCGGGGCAAGGGGATCCTGCAAAGGTTCCGGGTCAGCGTTCGGTCAACCAGCCCCAGAGAGAGAGCGGGGGTGGGGGTGGGGGAATCCCTGGGGTGAAGACGCCTCGGGACTAGTGGGCATTCACTTCTGGCCCAGACCCTTCCCACCGGGAACGACCTAAAGAGGTCTTTATCGCCTCTTTCTTTACCACCATTCTAGGGACCAGAGAAATGCAAGACAGGGGGCAGGAAGGAGAGCAAGGAGACAGCCTCTCAGGCCAATCACGACGTCCGCCTCCCCTCACTCGGAGTGAGTCTGTCTGTGTCTGTCTGTCTGTCTCTCTCAACACACACGACCTGCTACTTCAACTTCAGCTCTGAGCAAACTGCGCCGCACGTCTCTCCTACTACGAGTCCTCCAGCTCCGGCCCCGGCTCGTGCCTCTCGTCTCACCCCAGCTTTTTCACCCAATCCCAGTTTCCTCACCCAACTGACCGTGAAGCTGGAGGCAGTTCCCCAGTCCCAGGCCCCCGGTGGGGCTCGGCTGTCGCCGCCGCCGTCGCTCCCCCTGCAGCCCCCGACCCGCGATCCGGCCTCGGGCTGCAGCGATGGCTCCCCGGCACGAGGCGCCGCGGCTCCCTGGACTCGGCCAGACACAGGGCGGCGCGCAAGAGAAGCCCATCGAGCTCCCGGCGGTGCTGGCGGTGGTGGCGGCGGCGGCTGCTGGAGCGGCCGCCGCGCAGGCTGATGACGCATGGGCGCGGAGGGGGCGTGGTCCGCGGGGGAGACGCTGGCAGATGACATCTGCGGCGGGGAGGCTCGGCAGCATGGCGTTTGTGGCGCTGAGTGAGGCGGAGAAGGTGTACATTGTGCATGGCGTTCAGGTAGCGGCAGCAGCGGTACCGGCGCCGGCCGTCGGGTTCCCCTAGGACTGCGGCTGACTGGGTTTACCTTGTGATTAAACCGCTCGGCGGCCGGCGTGTGCAGATCGAAGCCGGCAATGAGGGTGTATTTGGGACCAGGCGGCGAGAATCCATTTAGGATTGTATTTGTACTTGCTTCTTTCTGGGTCTACAAGGTTCCACACCCGGGTAGGAAGCGGTGGGCAGTCCCTGATTCTGTTAAAGACCCTCTCAGCCTTTGAAGGCTGAGCTGTCCCATTTTTGTTAGGTACATATTCTATCATAATTTTTATCCCATTGAATCTTTGTAACAGTCCTGAAGGTAAGTATTATCTCTACTTTACATATAAGGAACTATGCTCAGAGAGGTTAAATCAGTTGTCTGAGGTCACAAAGTAAGTGTGTGGTCGTGTTACCCGAAAACAGGGTTTGCCGCTTGGTGGGTGTCGAGCCAAAAGACACAACCAAGTCAAAGACTGGGAGAAGGAAGGATTTGTTAATTGCAGCAAGTGAGGGGACGCTGAGGATCTTTTCCAAAGCAGTGTCTATCCAATTAGCAAAATTGGAGAATAAGCTAAGGGCACATGCATATTCATGTGGGGGCTTGAGCAGAGGGGAATTTAGCATAGAACTGGGGCAAAGGTTAACAGACTCCAAGCTTTAGTTGATTGGAGTCTCCGAAGGTCATAAAGGTCAACATCATCCTTCCTCGTGTTGAGACCAGCTTGGGGTCTTATCCTGTAGTTACCATCCTCTAGCTGGGTGGGGGCCTTAGTTCTTGTATAACAAGTCAAAGATCTGTATCAGATTGTTAAGTATATCCCTTGAGGAAAAACTAGGGCTCTGTTTTATCTCAACTGTTATTTCTTCACTGCTTTTCCTTTTTTCCTGCATTCTTTACTTCCCTCAAGATCATTGATTACAGAGACCTGTTCAAGGGCAAGCATTATGGTCAGGCTTAGATCACGACAATGCTTAGGCCTAAAATGGCTTCTCTTATGTCCAGAAAGCCATGCCTGGTTCTCTTTTTCCGGGGTCCCCTACCCTCTCTGATTACAGTGGACCTGGGATATAAATCCAGATCTTTCTGATTGCAAAGCCCACCTTGACTTGCATGCCACTTTCCCTTTTTTAAAATAAGGATTCAAAGGCAAAGGCCAGAGAGACTCCCCACTTCTACTTCTCTTTCTTCTGTCTTCTGAAAGCATGTTGGGGAAATAACGGGGAGGGCAAGTTCTGAACCCCACCATTTTCCTAGACCTTAAATAGTATATTGACATATATTGCTGTATTGTTATCTTTTTAGGTAATACTTTTTCCCACGTTGGTTCTCAGTTTCTTTAGAACCCTATTTTGCATTTCTTTGTACAACTTTTGTTTTACTAACTTGTATCAAACTGGTTTTTATATTCAGGAATTTGGGGGCAGATGTCAGAATATCCAGAATTAGCATTTAATCCTCTTTTGGGGTTTGCTTAACTAGCTAAATATGTGCTGCTTCCTCCATGAAAAGACATTGCTAACCTCCGTCTTAGCCCAGTGATTCTGAAACCTTGAAGCGCCTTTTACTCACAAAATACAGCTTCGCGGGCTTTACCTGGACCTTCTGAATCAGAATCTCTGGGGCTGGGGCCTGGGAATGGGTATTTTCATAAATGTTGGGAGATTTTGATGCAGTCACCAGACGTTGGGCTATGGGCAAGCCTCTGGCCTGGTCCAGCCTGGAGTCTGCTGCAGAAATCTTTGCCCCCCTGCCTGAGGTTGTTGCAGGAAGGGGGACCCCTTCCAGGGCCCAAGAGTGGGCTCTTGTCTAACACTCGGAAATGAATTGTCTGAGGGGACACATGTGCTGACAAAGCAAGAGACTTTATTGGGAAGGGGCACCCGGGCAGAGAGCAGTAGGGTGAGGGAACCCAGGAGAACTGCTCTGCCACGTGGCTCTCATTCTCAGGTTTTATGGTGATGGAGTTAGTTTCTGGGTTGTCTCTGGCCAATCATTCTGACTCAGGGTCCTTCATGGTGGCGTGTACATCACTCAGCCAAGATGGATTCCAGCGAGAAGGATTCTGGGAAGTTGGTAGGACATATTGACTGGTGTCCCCTCTCCTTTTGACCCTTCCCGAATTCTTCCGGTTGGTGATAGCTTGTTAGTTCCGTGTTCCTTACCAGGACCTCCTGTTGTAAGATAACTCATGCAAATGGTTACTATAAGTTCTGGCCAGGGTGGGCGGTTTCTGTCAGTGGTTCCCCTGACAAGGTCACATGACCTCCTGCGTCTGTTTGAGTGAGGACTTGGAGTCAGACTGAGCAGGGATCCTTTCCCGGCTCCACCATTCACAGTAAGAGTGATTCTTACCTGAGTAGCTGAGCTAGCTCCCCCTGTATAAAATGAGAACATATCCATCTGGGAGCAGAAAGGGATTGTGAGGAATGATGAGAAAAGAGAATATGGACCACCTGGCATGTGGTCAACCCTGAAGAGAAGTTGGCTCCCTGTCAAGATTTTTCCATCGGAAGTGTGGCTTTGTCCGGAACCATCCATACTATATCCGCAACCTTCCTAGTGACCCCATGTGGGGTTCCGCCTGTGGCTGTTGAGATTTAAGCTCTTTTGATTTGGAGGGCTAGAGATTGTTAAATTGTCTCAAGACAAGGGGGATTTGTGGCCAGGCCTGGAAAGTCCCTACGCAGCTCTGGGGCACTGCCTTTTCAGGGCTCCAGCATGGATCACATAGACTGTGTGACTCTGCCTGTCTTTACGTCTCTGGTGACAGCCCTACTTCTCTCTGCTGAAGTGTCTCACTTCTCCGCAGCCGCTTGCTGTCCAGCTGCCCTCCACCTTGGTACATGCCATCCCCCCACCTTTACTTCTGTGAGGCCTCTCCAGCCTCCCTCCACACCATGACCTGTCAGCTCCTCTTTAACTCCCTTTCGCTCCCAAGTATTTCCCAGATCAGAGATCAGATTCCAAGGAGTGAATCAGTTTCACGCCCCAAAGAGCTGGCCACTCTCTGGATTGTATGCCTTTGGGTCAGGCCCTTTGCAAGGTGAGTGGGATCCCATCCTAAAGGAATGCAGGCCCACCCAACAGGCTTGGAAAGTGGAACGAGGACAACATCTCGTTTTGCCTGCTGTGTCTGGGGCCTGGGCCTGCAAAGCTGGCCCTTTCCAAAGTAGGGTGGCTTTCTAGTAGGGGAGGCCGTATGGTTTCAGTTCTCCTCCAGCAAGCTCTGCACTCTTGGACAAGTCAAAGCAAGGTAGTGGAGGTGGGAGGTGGTTAGCATCGCCTCAGAGGACTACTTTAAGTCTAAATCCTCCCAAGTGTGTTGGATTAGGAGAGCCAACTGACAACTCCCATTAGGAAGTAGGACTGTGTTACCCGGGTGTGAGGAACAGCAACTCTGGGTTGGGTCATCTGTCCTGCCACTCTGTCACAAACAGGAGGTTAAACTTGGCGCCTCAGTGTCCTCATTTGTAACCTCTCTCCGGGTTGTTTTTGAGGATTCAGTGAGTTAATATGTGCTGCCAGAAGCAGAAGGAGCTGCTGAGCAGGGACTCCTGTGTGCTGCACTGTGCTGAGGATTCTCCTATAACTCTGTAGGGTCGGGGTTATTCCCGCTTTATAGACAAAGAGACAGACTCAGAGCTGTTGAGGAACTAACTTGCTCAAGGTCAAAAAGCTGGCGTGGAACAGCAGAGTTTTAAATATAGGTTGGCGGTGACTCTGTGCCACACCCAACCAGCAGGGTTGTAGTGATCACACAGGTAACAACTTGAAAGTCACGAGGAGCCATCCTAGCATCCAGAAGGCCTTTACCTAGAAAGGTGCTCAGTCCCCTCTGCTGAGAACAGGGTTCCACTCCCTGGTATGGTCTGTCACCTGTGGACATCTCTATTGATTTTTTAAATGGAGCGTTCACTTCAGGGCAGCCCATGTTTAAGTGTTCACACATGGATTGATTCCTTAGCTCCTGAGTACTACAGATGAATAAAAATTATGGTAGGGCGTCAGGCTCTGAGCCAGGCCAAGCAGGTTTAGCGATTTCCTAAGCCTTTTTTTTTTTGCGGTACGCGGGCCTCTCACTGTTGTGGCCTCTCTCGTTGCGGAGCACAGGCTCCGGACGCGTAGGCTCACCGGCCATGGCTCACGGGCCCAGCCGCTCCGCAGCATGTGGGATCTTCCCGGACCGGGGCACGAACCCGTGTCCCCTGCATCGGCAGGTGGACTCTCAACCACTGCACCACCAGGGAAGCCCCTTCCTAAGCCTTTTATGAGGAAAAGTGGATTTTTAAAAAGTCCTGTGTGCAGTGATTCATGGACTTTGTTTTCTCCTGTTGTGTGCTTTTTTCTATGAAAAAAATTATACTTTACGCGTCCCTGGAAAGGGAAATTTGTAGCTTTTTTGTTTATCGGAAATTTGTAGCTTTTTTGTTTATCTCTTACTTGTCACCCGAGCCTTCCTGACTGAGCCTTCCCCAGGGGGCAGAGACTGATTTAAAGGCTGGAAAGGCAAGCTCTGGTGAGGCCCAGTTTTCTGACACCCCTCCAGCCACATTTTGGAACAGTGGGTTGTCACTACAAAGGGTTGTGACTAGAATGAGTGGTAATTTAAAGCAATAGTGGGAAGCCCTGTAGCCTTGCGGCCTTCCTGCTTTCAGAGTCGTCATCACCATCATTAGGACGAACTGGTATAGCCAGCCAGTTCGTCCTTTGAGAGAGGCCTGTGCTGCCTCCTTTGCACAGTGAAGAGACTCTTTAGAATGCAGGAGACTGTGGAATTGGGGTTAAGAGCTCTGGCTTGGAATTCAAGTG